GCCTTCAAATGCATGACGACCTGCAAGGAACAGGCAACATTGAGAAGGGGGAGGCTTAAGACGTCAGTTATTTATTCTTGCGTAGRGTGAAACGCAAATAAATATCCAAACGTTCTAACAATTTTGGCAACAATTGAAYCAATAGTAGAGTAGATTGAAATARTTTTATTCAATAACATCTGGGTGACACTGACAACTTGACCTTTTTTTCACCTTCAAAAGACCAATGAAACTCATTTCACCATGCAAGAAATGACCAAAGCTCAGGTTGTCAAAAATGTCAATCACATCAAACAGGTTCCTTTTCATACATATGTTCACCCAAATTTTTAACAATCAATWGATGCTTACTTCTCAGCAATAGAGGGAGGGCTGTTGAATGCTTTGATGGCATCTCGTACTACATCACAGCCCGGTATTTTACCAAAATATTTGTTGCTTTGCCATACTATCAACTGTTATATTATATTTAACAAATCTGTTAGTTTGAATAAAATGAAAAGACTTCAATAGAAGACAAAGGAAATTAAAATCCTGTGTTTGTCATAAACAGATAATTTATAAAAGACAGTTTCATGATCTCTTTTACACTGTCTTAACCTTAATTGTGTGTAAAAATATTATTAGATAAAACTTGTGAAATTTCAAACTATTCAAATTGTGTTCTATACTCATAGAACATTTGCATTTGCACAGGCTGTTACTGAATAAAAGAAATTATATATGGTTTTGAGGCTAAGATAGAGTAGAAAAGATCACTAAAAAATGGTTTATTACAAAGTATTACAATTGTGAGTAAGGGACAAAAGCTGTACTCAATCATCCCTATTTCTTTCATTTTTAAACACAAAGATCTCCTGAAAAAAACCTCAAAATGAAAAAAAATGGTAGGGATATTTAAGGTAAAGTACCCTTACTTTAAGTCTAAAAAGAAACACAATAAACGATAAATTCAGTGAACTAGTTTTGTTCAYACACCTCTTCAGTTCACTAATSAAAGTTCGTTACATTCACAAATAAAAACAAACAAACACTAATGGAGCACGCACACTCTGATTTAAAGTTCCATTCTTCCTTAGTGTTCATTTTTGGTTGTTCTTTGTTCATCATCACCACTTAACAAACTTTCATTAGTGAACTGAAGAGTTTGAACGAAACAAGTTTTCTGTTTTCTGTTTATTGTGTACGTTTTAGACTTACAGTAAGGGTACTTTAACGTAAATATATTCCTACGATTNTACTGAGTGTGCAGTATGTACTGTAAGAATGCATGGCTACTGGTACTGAGTGTGCAGTATGTACTGTAAGAATGCATGGCTACTGTTACTGAGTGTGCAGTATGTACTGTAAGAATGCATGGCTACTGGTACTGAGTGTGCAGTATGTACTGTAAGAATGCATGGCTACTGGTATTGAGTGTGTACCTGAAGATCTGTTGTCATGGGATCTGTTTTTATTGACACTCTAGCACTCTAGAAAAAGATTAATAATAAAACACAATATTATTGATAATCAAAATTGAGGCTATAAATTATTTAATACAATAAAAAGAAAAAATTCAACGTAACTTCAGCTAGGAAGTCATAGCCTGTGTACATCTCTTTCCCAAATAAGTGGGCAGGAGAGAATCGGATTATTTGGGAGGGGTGAGAAACGGATGGATGTACACAGGCTAACAAAGTCATCATGTGAATAAAAATATCATGTCACATTATTGATAATAAACAAATATTGATAATAAAAATATTATGTCACGTGGTTGATAATTTTGAGTAACATTTTCATAATTTCATGACTGGAGAGCTATAAGACTGAAATGAGTAACAGCATATAATACTAATAATAATATCATTAATATTTATTATTACAGAAAATCTTTTTGTCTTCTTCTAAACACATTCATCTATCTGTGGTCTGATTGGTTTACTACTAGGTAAATCAGCTCATCTATACCATGAGTAGAGAAAAACGTTTCCCATAAAACTACAATGGTGAGAACATGAATAATTCTTTTGAAAACAGCTTACCCTTATGTGTATTTTTTGAATCGACAACTTTAAATTATCTTGGTTTTTGAAACCGGTTTTAAAGCCGTTTTGGTCACTTTCCAAATGAGAGTTAATTTGTAACACAAACATACCAAGAATGGCAAACAATTTTTCTATAGCCTGCGTAGCTAGGCGTTCCTATCACACCTGGCTATTCAGGCTATTTTTCCTACAAGACAACTGATGGTAAGAGCATGTATTGAATAATTCTTTTGAAGACAATTTATTTATTTTTAAATTGACAACTGTGAGTTTTTGGCCTCTGGCAGCTGSTAGTACACGATTTAGTAGCTTATTCTAGCAGGCTCTTGTTTTGCCTACTCCTCCCCCGACCCCCTCCTTCAGTTTTCCCCCCTTCCTCTTGATAGCCAACTGGACTGGAGCCTACTTGGCTATCAGCTCATCATGTACAACTTGTTTTGTGAAATTAATAACTTACTGTTAAATATAGAACACACCCATTACCCTAACTTATGAGCAATATGTCTTGATCATTTTTTTATTCTTAGTCTGTTTTTTATGTGAGTTAGTATTCATTGGATCATATACCTTTATTTTCTTAGCAATTTCTTCTTCTGCTTCTTTCAGCATTCCTACAGTTCACACAAAAAGAAAAGTCTGAATCCCACACACTACATTCATTAGACATTAATGAGCAGAAGCAATAGAGAAACAAGTGATATTTACAATGTGCCAGCACTGTAAGCTCTAGATATTAAAAAAAGTCATTTGAATGATGTTATTATTAGAAGTAGACTGTGACTATAATCCTGGAGAAAATTAAGCCAGTCAAGTTGAAGCACAGGGATACTGAAGGTAAAATTTAAGATACTGTACCAGTAAATATGCAGTAAAATATGCTGTACCTGCAGCTCTAGGCTCACTGACAGGACTACCCATTTTAAAACCATATGTCATTGACTGYAAGTCTTCCTGAAAATAATTTACAGATCATATATGAATTTCTTTTTAAATAGCCTGAATGCTTTAGGGACCGCCTAATACATGTGTCAGGACATTTTAGTCCTATATCAATAATGATCAGAATAACAAATAGGTGTAAAAGTATGGTTACCTCTTCGAAGACCTGGGCAGTATTTACAGCAATTCTTATAAACTCACAGCACTTCAACACAGCAACACAGAATGCCTAAATATTGATAGAAAAAAATCAGAAACTCTATATTATGCTCCATCATAGAAGCTGARACATGTATTTCTATTACAGGAAGCCTGAAAACACAATTTGACTGAACATGATCCAAATGAGCATGAGTCAAATACAGCATAATAAATGATTTGAACCACACTTGTGTTGTGCTAAGTTTTCAAGTAACATGTTATTATTTAATAATAGTCTCATCTACAGTTCCCTGTGCCATTAAAATAGACTTTGAATCAAAGACAAGTGATGACTGCAAGTAATTGTGTATAGAGCGGATTTCGTATGAGTGGGAAACGGACGGTACTGTACTGTGTCCGTAATCGTACTYTAACCAAATTCTAGTGCCCCATTGTTTCACCAAAATTCTGCAGGCCAGGTGCGGTAACTGTGCGGTAACGGTGTCCCACTCATACGAAATACGCTCTATATGAATATGGCTTATATCATTCCGTGCTCACTGGTTGTCACAATTTGATGTAAAYGCCTCAAGTCCAGCTTTAACACTGATTRGCAAAAATGTAAAGGAAATGCAGTGATGATAATCATAACTTTACCTTAAGACAAGGGTCTTGAATAAGAAAAGGATCATGCATATATAGACATATAAATACAGTCTGCACAAGGGAATGACCATCTAACCATGTCACCTGAAATAGTTGAAATACAGTACATGTATTTACGTGTTGCAGAAAAATTTATTGAGGAAAATAATAAATACAGTAAGAAGTTCATTGCAGTATCATGTCTTCCCTAATGGCCTGGCCTTAGCCTAAGTGCACTCAAACTGTCAATTGCTCTCTTAGCAGATGATTGGCTTACACTGGGTCTATATACATGTAGTATCTAAATCCTCAACAAGTGGAATTAGAATCCCCACATAGTCTTTGTATCAACACGAGACCTTTTCAAATGGGCACCATTCTCCATGCAATAAATTAATATTGGCCAGCTAAGATGCTGGACATGCTCTTGATCACCCATTCCATAATATTTTCAAGAAACGTTTAAAGCTGTATCAGATTTCAAAATGTTGGTTGTCAACAAATAACTCAGGTTATAGCATGATTGTTTGGGCTAAATAAAATTAAATGCTAAGGATTTACAAGAATTAAGACACAAAAAAGAAAGCTACTTAGAGCTACAACTGTCTTACCAAGCAAGCTAATAACTCATCCATAATACCAAGTCACAAAAAAGAAAGCTACTTGGAGCTACAACTGTCTTACCAAGCAAGCTAATAACTCATCCATAATACCAAGNGGTGAATTTGGACAAATGTCACGTTAAATTTCTATTCAGGAACTCATTGACTGTTTCATTCATAAAGTTTTGCTAGTTTTTTGGCATTTGTATATTTTTATTATTTTTATTTTCAAGCACAATGCAGTAATCTAAACGCTCAACATCTTGCTATTTTGTCACGACGTTCACAGTTATTATATTCACAATAAAGTACTAAGCTTATTGGAAATCATCGTGCAATGTGTTTTGATTTATTTTTATTTACATCATTTACCAATATAACAAAACAGTACCTCGGGAAATGTTGAGATTCTCGGGAAACAAACTAACCATTTCCCTTGCGAACAGTCATTTTAATGACTTAAAAGTATTTAATGTTTCCAATAAACTCACTGAAGTACATACAGATCCTATATATACAGTTATCAATGGTCTTATATGACAGTTATTTTACTCACCTCTACAGACTGCTTGAACTGAACAACTTTTCTAGTTTTGTTACATAGCATTCCAGCATCCATCTTGGGATCCATGATCTCTATAGCTGACATTGCTTCAAATAAGCCAAACCTATTATAATAATAGAATGGCACAGCTATATCAACAACAAACAAACTACAGTTTATGTAAATAATGGATAATATTGTATTTAACTTTTTACCACACTTGTGTAAATTCTCAGGCCCTGATTGGTTTATCTAGTGCGGATGTCAATAGGAGGACATGCACACTGTGCTTCAACACCACCACATCTCTTGCACACGCAGTTGAAAGAAAAGAATATTTTTCTCTAATTTTTAGACTTAAAAAATGTGGTATAAAACAAATTGCACAAATCTCTTGTTGTATGTCATCTAATTGACACACTCTTGATGTCATTTTAAAATGCTCAAAACTTTGCAGTGAACCAAGATTCGCTGCGCTTGTGGGTCCACTTGAGTTTTGGCCATTTTATGACATCAAGAATGTGTCAATAAGAGGACATACAACTCAAAAAAGTGCACAATTTTAAGTTACATTGATCAGTATTTATTATAGAGCATGAGTACTAGTAAAAAAGCACTGTAATTTTTAAGTGATATACATAAAATAGTCACAAAGTGACTGTACAGAAGGTTAAACCAATCAAGTTTCAGGTTAAATTACATACATGTTACTACCAAAATAACCAAAATAGTATAAGTTCTTTTGCTATGATCTATATGCTGTTTAGTGAAAGAAGTCATACTATTTATTATATACAGTACTAAGTTGAATTAAATTGTCAAAAATAAAAGAATGCAAGGAATGCGTCGCTGCAACTAAACACTTGATATAAGCACAATGCAGACTRTGATCAATGTACACTGTATGTAGTGTTTAAAAAATGAGCAGGAGTGCTTTATCAGGAGATAAAGACACGAGGCCGAAGGCCGAGTGTCTATATCTCCGATAAAGCACGACTGCGAGTATTTTATACTACTTCTAGAACTCCAACATACTGAAAAGCCATTCGAGTGCTAAATTTTTTTTTTAGTTATTAAAAAGTAATATATTTCTTTAGCTAAAATGGAAAAAAAAACTGAAAATGAAATTCTCGCACTGAACTCACGAGCGATCGTTTCAATTTTGCAAACGCACACTCATTTCTAACCTTTTTTTGTCTTTGTTTTTATAATTTTTTTCTACTTTAAAATTGAGGCATGAGATTCAAGGTAAATTCATTGGATGACTCGTGAATTCCTCGTTGAATTCACTCGTAAAGCTGATATCGCACTCATCGCTTCAACACGGAATTCACTCGTCACCCAATGAATTTACCTATAGAAATCTACTCACTTTCAAGAATAATAGAAATATAATATCAATTCCTAATATTGATACATCTTTAAATGACCATTAATTACACTAGCATGCACATTATATACTTAATTCAGCTCTGCGTGTGAACTCTAACAGAAACTCATGTCTTAGTTCTAAGAACACTTTTCATACAACACAACATACACAACTGATCACAGTGCAGAACTGATGAACACCTAATTTACATTTTCAACTTACAGATTATCATGCACAAGTTCTCCATGGTTTAATTCTGGAACAAGAAAAAAAGTGCACAATAAAATGATCTGAATTAACAATACAAATCATAAGAAAGTATGTTCACTGTACCAGTGGAAGCACTTTTAAATTCCTGGGTGAGATCAATCCAGTTYTACTGCACTTCTCTTGTACCTAATAAAACAAACAGTTAGGATGCATGTGATGTCATAGTCACGCAAAAAATCTCGCAAAATCCAAAATATTTTTGCTAAAGAGCTGTTCTTACAGTATATCTTAAATATATTTCTACATAGTGTGTATGGAAATTTTCAGACGAATTCAACGCTTTGGTGGCGAATTACAAAAGTTTTAGTTTGTGCGGAGTTTAATTTATTCTACTTTTAGATCGTAAACAAAAGCTTCGAAATTGGATAAATCATTCTTTCAACTCCGTAAGAACGTACTTAAGGTGATTTTTCATTGACGAATAAAGCCATAATTGAACAAAATTTACAAAGGAAATCAAGGAAACCAGAGTTTTTGAAGTCAATTTCAAAAACTCATTAATTATTCATGAGGTATTCAGCCAATCCCTGATTGTAATTTGTACCACGTGAAGTAGCTTGAAACCAGAGGAAGTACTCATACCTGGTATTCTACCTTATTTCCAMTTACTTCTACCTTTTTCAAGTTACTTCTACATTATTTCCAGCTATTTCTACCTTAATTCCAGTTACTTCTACCATGTTTCCAACTACTACTAGCTAATGATAATCAAATTATAAGAAATAATCAGTTTAACATTAATTTAGTGAAAAAAGGTCTTTGATACATGACTCCCTCACGACTCGATRCCCTACCGTCCAGTCTATATGCGCRGTCTTATACCATTACACCACRYAGTTTCTGATGCGATTCCTCGGAAGATAACATACTTATAAATCTTATAGTGAATTAGGCTCATTAGGAATGCCATGAATAGCAGACAAAGACAATTTGAATAGCTTTTGTTTCAGAGAGCCGTCCGGGAATTGAAGAACAACAAACGGTGCTTCATGTATTCAAAATTATGAAAACTGAAAACCTTACTGGAGATGCAATAAATCAATATATTTCTGTTATATGTATTTCCTTCGCTTTTTTTCCCTCCCGAATAATTAATGAGTTTTTGAAGTCGTTCAAAGGCCTCCAATTCGGACTTGACGGGATTTCAAAGTCCTTGCAATTAGTTCCAGTCCTCGGCTAGCGCCTCGGACTGGAACTAATTGCGCGGACTTTGAAACCCCGTCAAGTCCTCATTGTCGGCCTTTAAACATTACTTGGAACCAGCCGCCATCTTGTATGATCAAAGTTATCATCCAAGATGGCGTCCCCATACAAATTAACCAATATTTCAAATCTTTATTCGCTGCTATCTTCATCAGAAAGTAAGCTGAAAGCCTTAAAGCTCGTATTCTAGGTAATCTGACTATGCTCTTTGTGACTCGCTACTTGMTTTTTGAAAATAACAACTAATAAAATTTTCACTTTGGGGGTTGCATTTGTGGATGTTACATTTTAGCCAGAAAAACTTTTAATAATTTTAATAATAAAATCTTTTAATAAAATTTTTTGCCATAACGTCTAAAAAAACTGAGTAAGCATCTTTGAATCGATGATAGTTGATGCAATTGACATAAGATTAAAGTTACTCACCAAGTTTTGATAAACTGCTTGTCAAATTTCCTATTTTATCGCCGGAATCATTCGACACGCTAATGGACAAGAAACCGTTCAAGTTAACGACTTGTTAATGACAAAAGTACATAGAAAAATTAAAAAATACTCGTTCACCTTTCCATTGATGTAGTATTTTGTTCATCTAGTGCTCTTTCTTCCTCTACCGGTACGACTGACACTTCTGCTTCCGCCATTTTGATTTTGAACTACAAAGGATTGTGGGACACTACTATTTTAGGGCATCCAAAGATGGCGCACAGGGAGCCCACGCTCAACGATTGTGTTGCTTTCACGGCGGTGTCAAAGGGGGAAAAATATAAAAATGGCTTTAAAAATCAATGTTTATTCATAAAACTGTTTTTACTAATTAAAGAAAAACGAAAAGAAAGAGAAAGTCTTGAAAAGTCTCAAGAAATGAAGTAGAAAAAATTTACGGCTTCATGAGGCCCGAACCGCGAACCACGCGATTAATACTTTGACACCGCAGTGAAAGCAACACAACTGTTGAGCCTGGGCCCCCTGTGGATGGCGTATTGTATTTAAGGAGGCCCGGAAATCGGCTCGTGMTTCTACTTGAGTTTTGATCATTTTCTGACTCCATTTTCATTGTCGATAAGCGTATATACAACTTTTCAGTAAAATCAGACGTTTTGATTGGTTGGCTTTCGTGTGTTATCAAAGTATAGATACACGGATTACGTCAAAACTAATTGTTTGTTGTATAAAACAGATAGATCTCATTTTTCCGTGCGTGTGTTCTCTAATAGATACACAGATGACGTCAAAATGTAGTGAGAACAACAGTCACGCACTCGACTGCGTCTCGTGCGTACTTTTTTGTTCTCACTACATTTTGACGTCATCTGTGTGTCTATTAGAGTACACACGCACGGAAAAATGAGATCTATTTGTTAAACAGACCATAGAAAAGCGAATTCGATTTGTTAAATATGACACTTATTACGCGCGCGCATGTTAACTCTTGAAGCTCCGCGCATTTTCATTTTTTTTTGCACTGAAGAAGATCTGAGAGCAGATCGAAATGTCTGAATAAAAAACTAAGCTAGAGACAACTACACATATGTTTTGATATTCATATTCAGTTTAGTGATACTTTTTAACTGTAGAATTGAATAAACGTACAAGATCTCTTAGAAGAGGAAAATTTGGGTTAGAAAACTACCATCAGGCAATATGCATCGTTTAATTATACATGTACTACGCGACAAGTGCGAATCGCTTTTCTCGTGAAATTCATMGCGGAATTCCCTCTGACCGTCATCCACTAAATTTTCCTATAAAAACACTGACAATATTTTTCCCGAGCGTGAACATTTCACGATCGAGATTCCCAATGTTGTGATGTGTGTGCAAAAAAAAGGAATAAACAATTTTCATTGTTGAAAAAGGACTGTTTTATTTTGAATTTTCTTCACTATCGTCTTTGAAGAAATRAGAAAGAGGAAAATTCTTTTAACACTACATAAGAAATCTAGAGCACCGGATAAGTGAGAAAAAGAGGGGGTGTGGTGAGGTGTGAATTCTCCCTTTCCACTACCCTGAATTCGCCCCTGGTCTGCCTCAACATTGAAGATGCTTGGGAGGACAAAAGTAGAAGAAAGCGGAACATTTTAAAGAGAAATACAGTAAAAACCCGCGTATAAGAACAAGTGGATTAAGAACACCCAGGCCTGAATTTAGGAAATAAAGTACTATTTATTCCAGTCAAAATAGGGAAAAAAAGGTTCAACCCGTAACAAAATGCAACAGAAGGTTTCTCAACGGTTTTAGACTCAGAAACAAGTGACTAATAACATATTAAAAGTCTATAAAAATCTAGTTAGGGGAACATCGTTATAAATGCGAATCTTTTGGGTTAATTGGAAGTGCGCATGGAAACGAGGCTAAGAAAAGATTGTATTCAATTCACTCGAATATTGCTTTATTTTGACTTTGAAGCTAAAAATAAGTTAAATTAAAGTATTTTAGCCTCCTCTCGTAAGTTCAAGACTGACATTTATTCATTTTTTAGTATATTGCGATTTATTATACGTTTGTAAAGTAAGGCRTGGTCAGGTATTAATTTCATGAATATTCATTTGTCTACTTATAACTTCCTATAATTCAAAATTTTCAATAAATTATAGTTAAGCTTAAAAGTATTTTTATTGTTTTTTAAAAACTTTTTGCCTCAACTAGTCTTGATGATAATCGGCTGGCGTTCTAGACATCAGGTTGTCAATTACACCAAGCGGACGATTATTTTTACACATGAGCCACATGAGAAAACTTGTGATGACTGTGATCACTAGTTAGTTAGCTCTGAGAATATCCTGGAATCGCTATCAATCGTTATATTAAAGTTTCAAGGTAAGACTTTTTTATTTTCTTTTTGTTATTATTATTGACATTTCGATGAAATATAAAAGCATCTGAAATAATGTGAATTTAKATGAATTTGTTACTGCATGTAAATCAAACATGCGTATTATATCAGACAATTGTTTCATTTTCTTTTCCAGAGAATCGCAATCATGATGGGTGTGAGATTTGCAAAAAGGATGTTGAGATCACACCAAAACTACCGTTAAGCTCCATGAGAAGGGCAGTGCCATTATTATATGCAGTGAGTTGTAGGCCTTGAAATCCATGTCAAAAACTGATGTTTGTTCAAGTACTGGTTGTTTACTTCATTGGACATTTATCACTGTAATACGCTTAGCTACAGTTGGGGAACCAGGATTTTGGGAAGGGGTGTGACTAAAGTATTTTATGACAAGTATTTCATTTGAAAAAGTTACGTTAATTTAATATTCAATTTTTGTATCTATTAATCAACGCAGCATACACTAGCAGCTACATAAGATAGTTTTGGTTGTTTGCTTGTTTCGTTTTTAACTCGAAGATTGCGAAGCAATCGAAGAGTTATAGGAGGGAGATGAGGGAGATGATGTGTGAGGGGGACTAGTTAATAGGTCACTAATTTTTTTTCTGTAAACATACGGGCATTTAGAAATCCGTAACCAAGATGGCCAGGTGTTTTGATACAGAAATGGCTTTTTAAACACACAAAATGTGATTTTTGAGATCTGGAAGTTCTTGTGTAAGAATCTGTTGATTTCAGAAGTCGTTTTAGGAAATATTGTGTGAATATGGCTCGTAAATAAAGCATTGCTATTACGATGATTTCAAGGATTATTCCGATCCACGTGGATTAGTGATTTAATGCTCATCGATTCATATAAACTTTATCCTTCGTAAGAGGCTTTATACAGACTTATGTCCAGATTTATTGTCTGACAATCTTCGAATTGTGTCGCCATTGGCGGCTTGTTTTAAAGTGTGATTGTTTTATACACCTTTACCATAATGGCTGCATTTGTGTTTTTCCAAAATAAGATAAATAACAATATTTTGTCACCGTAACATAAAAGAACTAACAGAAATAAACGTATTTGGAACGCTTTAGAACTCTGGACAAAATAGGAAAAAAGTTACGGTGAAATGAAATACAAAGAAATGTATGTAATTTTCAACCAATGGCTGTCTGTCTATTTGTTTCTGAATATGAAATATGTTAAAACTTTGTCACTGTCATGTGAATGAACTACCAGAAATAAACATTTTTGGAAAGTTTTACAGCCCTGGATAAAATGCGAACAAATTTATAGCGCAATGAAAATACAGAMAAATGTATGTAATTTTCAGCCAAGGCCTTTATAGCCTCGTTCTGGTGTGATATATTTTAAATCCTTACAACTTCACCAGAATTTAATATTTTCATTTCAAACTTTTATATTTTGTTATCAGCACAGGTTCCTATCAGCTGTCAGTTTACTTTTACTAAAATTCGAAATTTTAAAAATTTATGTTAATTAGATGGCGGCCATTATGGTAAAGGTGTATGTAGACTAACAACTATTTTACATCAAAACTAATATAAAATGATGTGAAATATGTATACAGATAAACAGAAAAGCGATGGCTCCTATACATTCTCCTAGGATGGAYCTGCATAAATGCCCGGCATATTTCTTGTGTGGTTATCTTTCAGCCTCGACACTTCCGATGGGGAGGACAGCAAGAACCTTCAATAGCTCGCGTACATTGGGCGAAAGATCTGGTCGGCATGRTGCGCTAACACTATTGTTATTGGTTGATCTTCTTTCTTCTCTCGTGTTTTCCAGAAATTGCACCATCTGAAAAGCTCACTGTCAAATGCTGTCGCAATTGGTAGAATATCATTCCAATTTTTTTTTTTAGAATCTGTGAAAGCTCTTTCACTTCGTTTTGGCTTTTTTAAATGAATTTGAATAAATTGGTCAATAGCTAAATTAAATAAATTGTTCAATAGCTAATCATCCTTCCTTGCAGCCCGAGTACTGAATTACGAAGGACGCAACTCACGTGATCGAGTCGGTTATGCGGTATACAAGGCGCTATCATTATGAGGACAATCACATAGRTACAACACGRACAAAGCAGCCAAACAACCGACCCATATCTGATCACGAAATGTTCCATTTTTGCTGAGGGAGGAAAAACCGGAGAACTCGGAGAAAAAACCCTCGAAGCAAGGGAAAGAACGGAAACAAACTCAAGCCACATATGATCCCAAGTCAGAATCGAACCCGGGACCACAGCGGTGACAGACCGGTGCTGTCACCGCTCGGCCACCCTTGTTTCCCAGCAAGGGCACAAGACTAAAAAAAATCATCTTGTCATTGCTAAATCTTGTCTTTAACTCTTCGATTACATTCCTGAAAATGCTCAAAAATGGTATTGCAACTGTACATTTCCAATAATCTTCAACTGTATTTGCTTGAACATTGTCTCTGTGTGTCTGTGTTTGACAAACACGTGGACAGTCCTCAACAGATCCCACTAACTTTGAAAGTCGCAAGAGACGTTAGCGTATATACGTTGAAACCACATATCGATGTCAAATCGAATGTCATTGCATGATGGAATGACCTCATCCACTCTTCGAAAACCAAAATAGTGGGAARTAGCGGTAAACTAGTGTGATCTGCGTCGGTGTTTCTAAAGAAACAGTTGTGTAAAAAAAATTGACACCGGTAAAAAAGGATGTGAAATAACTTACTGACGTTTCGGACGTTAATCCTTCTGAAAACCAAAATATACCTTTCGATTCTATTGTTTTTGAATGAAAATAATTAAATAAAATTTTGTA